AAGGATTTTGAAAACGGAAAAATGACAGTCATGCCGGCCCAGCATCATCAACATTGAAAAATGCCCCGGCATGAAGTGGTTAACAACCTAAGCCAGTTGATTCAGACGTAGTCATGCGGTCACCTTTGACTCTTCTTTTGGCCTGAGACAAAGGGGTCAACTGAATTTGAACAAATTACAGATTGCCAGAGCTAGTGACGTTACTGGAGTGCAGTGGAACCAGTGTAAAAGTAGCGTTGGATTTTAACATGTTTCTTTGCACTGGTTAGGTAATGTCGTGTATACTGGGCAGCAAAGCGGGATACCATCTCAGCCTCAAATGCAGCCCCTTCTCCAACCCCAGTGGCAGGGCCAGTACCAGCCTGCACCCCAGGGAGCCGCCCAAGCACAACCAGAAGCCCCGCCCAACGCACCACCCCATCCTGTCCCTGAAACGCCCAACTTTCCAGAGGATCACTTCAACAAACCTCTCATAACCTAAAGTTCAAAGGTCATGAAACTAACATTAACCCTTCGGAGGATTGAAGCGTAATTGGCTCAAAGGCAAGTGGTCGAAGCACGAAACTGATAAATACTTTATCTTGCCTTTTGTATTAACCTTTTTAACCAAGAACAGTGTACACTTTGTCAGATGCGGCTTATTAGTGTAGTTTCCTGGTTTTGAAATGGTTTTCTGTACTTTTTATACAGTACTTCAGTATATTAACTACAATGTAAAAAAAAGCATAACCAATTTTCAAATATATATTTTAAAGAAGTGAACTTGCCGAGTGAAGCATTTAGGCATCTTTAGCTTCCAACACTGAAGAGGTTTCAATCTACATGTACATGTACATACAAGGTGCTTGGTCTAAAGTAACGTTTATTTCCTTTTCACAGCTTCACCTGAAAAGTAAGGAACGAGTATTCTACTAAGCAAACATGAGGCTGTGTTCTCTTTGATTTTTTTTTCACTGTCATTTGTCAGGCTTGCTTTTTTTGCCATCTGTCTTAATTTTATTCGATTTGTTATAAACTATAGAGCAATCCAGTGACCAGAATTAGAAGCCATTTCTGCCAGGCCATCCTGTTTGAGTGCAGGTGGTACGTGCGCAGTACATTTCTCTCAGACCAATAGCCTGTTGTTACTTGGCAAAATAAGTGCATGCGCTCAAGATAAAACTCTTGCGTTACTGTGATGGCCTTGCAGGAGTGGTCTCTGCTTGGATTTGTCAATAGTGTATTTTTTAAATATCTTGGTATGGGTACTGCTGTTTTTTTATACAAAACTTTTGAGCAACTGTGAGAGATTGTGTACACTTTACCGTGTACAGCTCTAGACGTATTGTTCGATGGTTGTCTTAGAGAGCAACTATTTCAATCAATTTGAGTTAGCTTTTAGTAGACCTGTTTTCTGCTTGTTAAAATGAAAAGCTGTCAGAGAGGATGATAGAAAAATGGTAAGAAAAGTTTAAATTGCATTTTCTTTAAATATATATAAAATATACATTTATACAGAACACTGGACGTTTGACGGTATTATTTTCACTTGGGGAGTAGGAAAACAGTTGCAGAAACACAAATGTATAGCATAATTGAACTTGCTTAGTTGAAGTTGCAGTACCTGTGCAAAAAGTTTTAATATTTGCTCTTAATTCCAAATGAGTGGTAGATATCTGAGGGTCACGGGAGACCATTCGTGTCAGAAGGCTATTATGACCCTTTAGTTTTGCATTCCTAAATTTGAATTAACCTGGATTAACCTCTGGTTTGAGTCCTCGTGAAATGGGCTTGAACTACATATTCTCCTGTCATAACAATCTGCTAAGTGACCTTTAATTTGGTTACTTTATAAGGAGTCCATTTTAACTCAAACAAAGAAGTATAAAGGGATCATATAGCTAGTGGTAACATTCTGTGAATTTTGATACCCATGTTTTTAAATTTTTGGTAGATCTAGCAAGCATGTCACAATTTTTTCTTTCTTGTATTGCTATTTTTGCATTTAATTATCCTAGAACTTAACTTTTATTTTTTGGAAAGCATTGGACTGTTACATACTTTTGTGCTTTGAAAGCACTTGCTTGTTTTTTTTAACGTTTTGAGTTTTTATTGAAGGATGCTCAAGCTGATGGCACTGGTATCTATCAGTAAAAAAGATCAGTTGAGCTTCATGTTGAGGCAGTTTGCATTGTAGTGACTGTACTTCCAAAGCCTGAGAGAAGTTAATACTTCTACATTATATCTCTGGGTTTCATTCCAACAATGATTGGCAACATTAAAAGTTTCAAAGTGAGACGAATTAGTTTTGACGTGAGCAATATGTCATGATGTTTGTAACACGATATGTGAATTGTGCAATGAAAAGTGTTTGAAATAGCATTGGTTGCGTTTTGCAACTTTTGTGACTATACAACAAAATGTTGGGTTTTTGTTGTTTTTTTCATCATTGAAAATATCTCACTTTCCTTATGTTGGTCATAAACACAGCTTTAATGCTACCTATGATATCTCTTTCAATTTTCTGATAAACGGCTCTACTTAACTCCTCGCGGATTTTGGCAAGTGGAAAGATAACTGATGATGAGGGCGCCCAATTACGTTCGTGGAAGTGCCGCGCCACAAGTCTGTGTACGGGGCGCTCTCGACGAGTTCGAGTAGAATGCGCCACTACTCGAACTCGTCGTGAGCGCCCCATGTACACAGACTTGGTGGCGCGGCACTTCCGGCCAAAGATTGTATAGCGCCGCGCGGCGCTATACAATCTTTGCTTCCGGCTGCATGGTCTATGTATTTTGTTTACCAACAAACGCAGCAAGGGCGAACAACTAAACAAGGTGAGTCTCGGACGATCTATTTCAAGTTCCAGGAGTGTCTGGAAATATTTTATTCATAGTGCAGCGCATGGAGGAAGTAAAAGCATTCCGTGAGCGTAATCGGCAAGGATAGTCCAGTTCAAGTCTTTTCACGGTGCTTTCGTGTCAGACTTGTCCTTTGATTTCCTCCATGCGGTGTATGCATGGTCACGATGGTGTATGTGACTCTTTGCTTAACACACAATAAGCATGCTAAGCCTGCGCCGAGTAGGGCCTACAGTCGTTTTCCTATAGTACATGTATGTGGTTCCGGATATTTCCTAACGTTATTTTCGGATAGCTCAAAATGAAGACCTGCCTCTTTTGTATTGTTTTTCAGTACTACATTCTAAAACTGATTATGTTTGAAAGGTGAAATGTTCGTTTCTTGTATAAATATCGCTCTATGAAAGGCCAGATTTCCGTTTTGCACTTTGACATTTTTGAATGGTTTGTCAAAACTTATGGGGGGCCAAAAAATTGTCAAAAATTTACAGGGCAAGAGGTCACTCATATAACCGTGCTAAATATTTGTGATTCCAAATACTTTTTTCATACACAACAATCGTATAAATGTTTGCATAGAGGCCTGGGGTCTGACGTCTGCTCTGCTCCCACATCAGTGGCGAATGTCAGACTCCACAGTTCTGGGGTAAGGCCTAATGTCTTTTTAATCAAAATGACTTAGACATTCAGTTTTTTAAAAATTGGCCAAAAACTGAACTGAATTCCTAGGTTCAGATTATGCTTTAAGTGTATGCAGATATGTTGCAAATTCAAGTACATGGCAGAAATGTATGTGACGTAATGGGTTTGTCAACTGTGTGGCGTGTTGATAGCATGCTGTGCAGCTGAAAATGCCAAAACTTAGGCAAGTTCTATTTTTTAATTCATTGGAATTTTGATATATGAACTAATTTCTTCTGAATTAAGAAATTCTTCATAGAAAATCAGCTTGTCACAATGGTTCTGACTAAAAAGTGGATTTCTTGCATAATTACTTTTTATGGATAAAGAAGATCTGGAACTGGTTGAAGCCATCCAGAACTAGGAAAGTGTTCAATGTCATCACTTTCCTCAATCCTGTTAGGGCTGAGTCAGTTTGAATAATTCATTATTCAAATATTTGACCTTCAATTTGATCGAATATCTGAATATTCGTCCTACCGACTTGCAGATTGTTGATGAACAAACCATTTACAAAATCAGTTGCCATAACGCACACGGTAATACATTATGACCACTGTAATACACATGTAGCTTCTCTCGTCCAGGAGTATCTCCAACCACGATTTAGCAAGATTCACGAGATGAACAATAAGAATTGCCCTGTTGAAAATTTCTATTCCTTTGAAATTTTTTAATGAATAATTTCCATTTGAATCATAAGGTTCCTGTCACTTTTCATTTGAATCTGTTTGAAACAATCCTCCATAGTACAATTTTTCTCATTTAAAACAGAATAAAATTCTCCCTTTTATGCATTTGCATTCCAGTATTTAAATTCGGAAAGTAATATTCAAATATTAGATAACCTATCCAATATTCAGAAATTAATATAAAAAAATGTGGGGGAATGATTCAATAGCCCACCCCCCCAAAAGGGGGTGGGGAGAATATATACCCCATGCCCCTGGATTTATGCCCATGGTGTTACAGTGTTACAATGTCAGGGTATGATTTTCTAAGGGGGGGGGCAGTTGTGCAGACCATCAGGCATCAGCCATTTAAGACCCTGTGAAGGGGGAATTCATGCCCGCCTCCAGTGCCAAGGGTAAAATTAGCTGGCTTTAAACATTGCTATTACTTTTTATCAGAACTAGAGTTCCAAGGAATTTGTTGACCATGAGCTCAATCGTCGGTGAGTGAAGAAAAATGCCATCATCCACATGCATGTACAGTGCATGTACATGTACATGTAGGTTCAAAAAGCGGGAATCTAATATAAAAGCAGTATTGTTACAGTAGGCCCGTTCGATAGAAATAGGCTTGTTTGTGATCCAGCTGCCAGCTCCTTTGCGATTAATAGAGTAGTGACTTAGACTTGATTGAAACTCAGTGTATTGAAAATATTTTGTTGCTGGTTTTGATTTTACTGCATTAGAACCAACATTTCTGATCCAAATAAAAGAGAGAGAAAGAGAAAGAAAAACCAGTTGATTCAGAAAGATTGTCTACTGGCAAAACCCCTTAAAGTAGGATTACAAAATAACCATTCCTGTTGTTTTATTGCATATAGTTCTACACTTTAAATCAAGTTAGATTATATTATGATCATAATCATGTTAACAATTTGTGATTTGAATCTGCCAACTGCTGATTTGAATCCAAGTTCATGGCTTGAATTTAACAAACAACTCCTGCCAACCCAGATTACTCATAATGTGCTTATAACTATACTTATCTTATCAGAACTACAGGCACTGAATAGGTTGCAGAAGGGTAATTGCCACTTTAAATGTGTAAACCTGCAGAGAAATTCCAAACCAGTTGCAGAATATGAAAAATTATCATATTTTTGTTTAAAAAATAATTCAAATATTGATTTCAATCAGTGATTCAAAAAACAATCATTTATGCCTAATTTAAATGGAAGTAATTTAAATCAACCAACCCTGCAGTGTCATGAAATTTTGTTTGCTGTTAGTCGAAAATTCAAAAATGGTTGTCCAGAAATCAGGCACAAATTCAGCAGCTGTTCCCTAACATGGCACACTTGAACATGTCTTAGAAAAATACCCCATTTAGGCCACCAAAAAAGGCTTCAGTTTCTCGTCAATGCGCATATTGCCGTAGACCTCCCCATTGGCAAAATAAAAAAGTTTTTTTATTTGGTATGAAATGATGTCCAAAAGCTGCCAAACTTGCAATCGACTGGAATCCTGCTACTACATGTACATGTACGTAATTAAAACGTGTTCTTGATGGGGTACGGTTGAGTAATCATTTAGTCGGGCACTCTTTTGCAGATGACGTCATTTCTGTATTAATTTACATCTGGGAACCAAACGAGGTGGTCTTATGTCCTATGTACATGTACAAGCTGAAAATGCTTTTAAACAGTAAAAGTGCGGGGTCCAGCTATTTTGTAGTTGTGTGCGCATGCAGTTGCCACATTATCGTACATCATGTCCAGACAATAAAGTGGGGGGAAAAAAGCCTCGTCGCTGCACCACTTTAGAGCCAGTTCCTGACCAGAAACCAGAGACCTTTTTGGCCTAATATACAACAAATTGAACAATGTCTTCAAAGTTCACAGGTTGGTTACATTATGATAAATAATTGCAGTCCCCACTCACATAGCCAACTGCAAGTTTGTTAAAAAACATTTCTTATTTAGGGGTGCATTTTAATGTTTTTGTTTTGCATAAATTGTGAACAAATTCAGAAAATCATGCCTAAATATGAATTCATTGGCATTTTGTCCATAAACTTGAGATGTATGAGCGAGAATCTTGAGAACTTGATCAAAATTCACTTGTTAAATATGAGGCCCAAATATTGCTCTGGCAAGGCACTAAAAGGCGAGGAACTTGCCGACTTCCTGATACCTGATCAATGATTACTGAAATTTTGATCCAGCATTTTAGAAAGGCATGCAGGCTTTTCTTTTAATTACTTGCCAGAAGACTATTTGGAAAAAAATCTGACTAAAACATCTCTTGAGACCCTGTAATCAACCGTCCCTGTCATCGACATTGGAGATGAGGATCTTTACATTATTGTGACACTTACAGAAAGCGATACCCTTTGGTTAATACCTACAATTCCCACCGCCAACAGTAGCTTCAAGTTAAAGTGCAGGCGTGGATGAGTTGGAAACACTTCACTTCTGCATTTTGCTCTGATCTTCACAATAATTATGGGTACCCTGGTACCCGCCCGTTGGGATCAGGTACCCGGTTCTCAGACTACCCGTACATGCACACCACTATTAGAGGCCAAATATCAATTGTTAGGGGCTGGACCATGCCCCGTCATGCTACGTGTACATCAACAGAATAGTTGTTTAGGAGGAACTGACGGTATTTTGATTTAGATGGCCCATGACTTGAAGTTGAAACATGGATTTCATTGTGTGCAGATATCGTAAGGCAAAGCCAGCAAATATTACCATCTTGAATGTTGATATTATATTAAACACACTCACACACTGTGAAAATTGAAGTTAAGTCCGCCAATTTCTATGATAATTGTCATTCACAGGACAGTGAAACTGTGATCAATAACCATCATGAGTTATCCACCTCCTTATGAGGAGTTTCACCGGGAGCAACAAACAGACACACAGCAGCAGCAGCAACAAACCACGGTATTGTAGACAGAGCCTCAAGTTACCATTATCATTGATTCCATTTGATCCTTCAATTTACAATATATTTTAATGTGAGTGAAACTGTGTTAAGCAAGATGTTTTAAGCTGTTCTTGAGAATATTGTTTGTAAAATTTGAAGCTAAATGTTGTTCTTTTAGGTGATGATTCAGCCCAACCCATCAGCTTCTCATCAGTCCAGCACACGAGGCAGCTGGAAAGGTCTACAAATCACTGGGTACTTGCATGTAGTTCTGGGAATCGTCTCTGTCTTATTTGGAATCCTTGCCTCAGTCTATAAGGTGTTCTTGTACGCCATTGGAATTCCAATTTGGACAGGAATTATCGTAAGTATCAACTGCCTCATTGCATTGAGCTTGCAAGACTGAAGTCCATTTTCATCCTATCTACAGTATAGTGAGAATAAACTCCTATCATGGACAGACACATTGCATTTTTGAGATTTGAGAGAGTGTTTGTGAATATTTCCTTGCTGGTTTCTTACAGTTTTACATAGTAACTGGTGTTTTGGGCATTGCTGCTGGTGGGAAGCAGCGTCACAGTTTGGTAAGTCATTTGTATCATTTCTTGGTTGTGACCAGGAAGGGCAAGCAGGGAGGGTGTGCCAGAAAGAACTTAGCCAGATTGGATAGGCAAGGCATGGCTGGTGGGTGAGCCAAGGTGCGGCTGGGTGGGGCAGGTTGGGCATGGTGACTGGGGTAGTGTGGTCCCCTGCTTGTTTTAGGTCTTGTGCCCGGTGTACATGGTTTCCCTTCATTTTTGGCAAGTATGACGTGTATGCCTCCAGCACTACCCTGATTTCGAGGCTAAAGATTATGAATTAATTGACATGTACTGCTTTTTCCTGCCTGCTTACATCAAGCGTATGCATGAGATGTGTTTCCCGAAGACAATTCTTTTCTTGGTGTGGTAAAGTGCTCTCCATTTTTCATGCTGGATGAAGTATTTTCTCGTGGCAGTAAAAATTTCACGGATGGCAATGGGAACAATTACCGACCCCCTAATCCCCGCCCCCTTCCCTCCCAACTTCTGTCCACAGGACCTACAAAAATTTATGATATGTCCATTACTGTTCTACCTGTAGGTGATTGGGTACATGACCATGTCTATCATCACAGCTGTGGCTGGATGCGCTGTTTGTGTGACTCATGGAATAGGTGTTACAATTGGAGGATTCCAGGGCTGTCCGGATTTTGGAGCTTACTACTCGCCATTTAACTTCGGATGCTCATCTACATCTGTAAGTGTTCAGACCTGTTTCTTACTGATAGAATACCCAATCTCAACTGGAGATGCCACTTTTCCGATTTTAATCGGAAATCTGACTTTTTTGGTATTTTTCTCCCCAAATCCGATTTTATTTTACATTTCCCCCTGCAATGTTTTCAACATTGACAGAATTAAATAAAGAAGAAAAGACTGGAAGCAAATCTATGATGCGCACGTATCCTGCGCAGTGCGACTGGGTATATAACCTTGGGTGCAGTCGTCAGTAGAGTGCTGTAATACGTCAGTCATATTGTGGTGCGAAATACGAAGGACAGCGTTGAGTGGTGTCGTCAGTGACTGGAAATACATTGAAATATTGACCTTTGATGCATGTAAATCGCTTGTCATGGACAGCTCGATGCTTGCACATGCGACATTCGCGATGCATGAACGTACACAACGAACGTACATTGTACGTTGGATGATCAACACGTGGATCAACTTTATGCTCAAGGGCCGACAAAATGCAGCATCTAATTGTCAACAGAAATGATATTGAAAGAGATGTCAAGAACAAATTTCAGTGGAGATGGCTCAAAGAAAAGGATAACAGTGGTGATTTCTTTTCTACTTATGTTAGAAAGCTTCATTCGCCAGTTAGGCCTAAGCCTACTGACTACCATGACCATAACACTGCCTACCTCCGATCGGGCAGAAAGCTTTGTCATGTTTGTATCTTTCTGAGTAATAAACAGCAGGCTGCCATACACGTAGGCTGCAACTCGTGACTGTGATCGACCAGCGATGATCAAGAAAGAACTTTTTTGTTTTTATAGCCAACTACACAATGAAGATGGACATTGTGTACATGCACACAGACCCATGCATTAATACGTATAAAACCGACACCGTGCGATTTTCTGATTTTCCGCATCTCTGCAAAGACTGAACCACTTACTGCCATGCACACTGTGCCACTTCAGAGGGCACCTCTAGGCAAAATATCCCACATTGATTGCATGACGTGCACCATGAATATTTGTTGTAACACGGTCATAGTAAATTTCAAGTGGTCACAAATTGATCACGGGATATGCAGCAAGCACGCATGTGTCATTTACACGTGGAGCGCTCCGGTGATTTTTGCAGGCCACACAAAATCAGTGACGGGTAACGGTGATCTTTCCCACGGTTGATTGGTCATATCTACTGGAGGTACATGTAATTGTGAAATCTTGGGTATGAGGGTGGATAGCTGCAGCGGTCCTACGCGCCAGTTATTGTAGGAGATGTGCTCTATGTTGGGGACATTGAAGCACTGTGTCCATTGGCATGTGCTACTCTCTTCATTCTGACCACGACAGAGACCTGCGGGTCATTAAGCTTCTGTTCATGCACCTAGCTATGCTTGTGGACCACTAGTATGCTCTAATTACTGTTTCTGCTGCATAGCCATTGCTGTGTATATAAAATGCTCATGCTGTTGTCTTGTCTCGTCTGCTCTTCAGTCTTGTCAATACTTTTCAATGGAATTTTGGTGTAAACAATGTCGTGAAATTCAACCAGTTGACAATACTCCGGTGCTTTATTGATCCCTGGTTTCTCTGGTAAACCAGTTTGTTATAAATTCCAGATATTGCCCTCTTCCCCCGCCCCCCAAAACACACAAAAATATCAGTATCAGAACAAAGGACATCACAATAAACAATTCTCCATGCATTGTAATATCTAATTTTCTGTTCAAGCATTTCAATTTGTCAATGCAATAAAATTTGCATATATTTGCATGTAGATTTAGATTCAATATGTTACTAACTACATTTGATGAGCATTTAGCATCCCCGGTTTAGTCATCCCATTAACAGGGATAACTTTTCACATCACTTTCCTGGTGATAAGGGAGTCAGGTTGGCATAGTGGTTCTTTCCTAGCCTTCCACTTCTGCGGTCCAGGTTCAATTCCTGGCTCATTCCACAAGTCCCTGCCTAATTCTGTGAGTTATACCCAGAAGATTCCTTTAGAGCTTTCCTCCCACTTCTAAAAGTGTAACTACATCTCATTGTCCCCTCTCAACAGGTTTCTTCGGGCTTGTAAGCTACATTACCTCGGGTACTTTCGTGGAATCCTTGGTGTTGTTACCTGAAATTATGAATAATAATTAAAAAATAATAATTTCAATATTTTGTGTTGAAACTGTAGTGTTTTTGAGTCTGAACACCACTGCCGTTCATGTAAAAAAAGACACTGCCGAAAAGCAGTTTTCGCTGGTACATGTACATGTATGTGCCATGTAGTCTGTGCCTAGATTTCAGAGAGCGCTCTCGTATCTGCTGCCCTCAATGCAGAGTTCTCAGTGTTGTGTCATCAGCTACTTTTTTTTTTTTGCAAGGGAACACGTGCTGCCATTAATGGTCTGATCTCAGCGCTCGGTGTCACTGAGATGATTGTCGCCATTGTTGGAGCCAGCCTGTGTTGTTGCACCTTCTGCTGTGTTCGTACTCCAAGCCAAGTGGTAAGTCCCGCAAAGCTTTAACTGCTCCAATTTAGGCGTGGTGCTTTCTAACAACAGGTATTTTCCTTTTGAAGTATGCTTACAAATGGCCAAACATTCCTAAGGTATCCAATGTACATGTAGGTAATAGACCTTATTGTAGTAGCCATTTCTGATCTTACACACTGAATCTCTTAGCAAAATGTCAATTAACCACTGGATGCCAGATGATATGTAAACACACAGTTTTCCTCATTTTTTCCAACGGAAGATATGTACACTCATTTAAGACTTTGTTTTTCATATCCGTGCAGCCTGTTAGCCAGCGAGCGGTGCAGCCGTGTGTTGCACGGCCAGTTTTGTGAAATCACGGCCCATTTTTTCAAGCACGGCCTGGCGGCACAAATCAAGCCGTGCACTACTTTATTCCAGGCATGTGCAATCTAGATCCTGAAAATTGTGAAAATAAAATCTGAGCTAAAATTCAGTCTTTTCCCATGCTTTTTCCCCCATCAACCAAGTCCAAAATAAAAAATATGGTTCGGACATTTGATTTGAACGTATCAACGCTGGAAAGCGGGTTCCCTTACTAACAAATAATGAACTACAGCATTGTATCTATTAAATTGTAACAAGATGAATAGAGGGAGCCATACTTGTTCACCAGCGATCAATTGTACATGTAATCAGCCTCATTCCCGTGGCAATTATTAGCTGCCATATTTAGCCCACTCTCGCACGAGGTAGTCCCTTGGGACGAGGTTGACATATAATCGTTTTGGGGCTTGCATGCACTGCGTGCTCACTGTCATCCAGAATGAAATTACAAAAATGGATTTCTTCTCGAAGGCAAGGACTGGCCTACATGTAATCTTTCTTATTGTTAATAATCAGCATAAAGCTTGTTTAGGTTGTTCTACCTTAACGATGGAAAAAATTGTCGAACACCTCTGATGCCATGTTCAGACTTTTGTCAAGTACTGACCCGCATTATTACCTGCATACCATTTTTTGAAAACAAAATAAAGTGTTGATGACAAACCTGTTCAAAGGTGTTTGTCATTATTCGCTTCTTTGTTGCAGGGCTGTTTCATCACACTATATAAAACAACAATTGCACACAGTTTTACAATTTAAATTTTTTTCTGAATGCTGCTATCTATTTGTTAGAAAAGGCAAAACTCTCATGAACAAATGTCAGACATTCATCAGAGACCACCAGAGAGCATCTAAAATAGGCAGCGCTCCCTACACAGGCCCTGGATCCCAGCCGTGTGCTTCAAGTTTGCACACAAATTTTGGACTTTGACCAGAATGCACTCCCTATTTTTCATTTTGCACTCCCACTTTTCAAATTCTAGCTAAAACACTGTTTCCACGGTTGACATATTAATGCGTTGTGCTTGGTTGCACCGTAAGTAAATTGCAATTTTGAAAACCTTGCAGGAAAAAATCTGCACCTGGCAGCTTTTTTGGGTAAGAAAATCCAATGATAACTGGTTAAAATTGAATCAGACTGTTTTTATAATGGACATGCTTTTCAATTCTCCTTTTTGGTATTTTGCTAATATGGCACAAAACACGTTGGTAAAATTTTCTATGTTTATTTAGAAATTTGAAATTATTCACCAAAGTAGACAGGTACCAATTTGTCATGAAATTTCAATTTATCACTTTCACATCTACTCTCAACATTTAAAGAGGAACTGTTAAGTTTGCTTTCTTTAATAATTTCAGTGGGGCTGACTCATGAATATTGAAAGTCTGTAGGCAACCCAATTACAAGAGAGTGTTTCAAATTCAGTATTAATGGAGGTGGTTGTTGTCTTTGGCTCTTTTGTTGTCAGGTGACCTACACACCCCCCCAGCAGGGTATGGCCCACTTTGCTGTCCCTCCTGAGGTGCATTTGGGTAAGCATAAGGTCAAAGGTCAGATCAAAGGATGTAACCATCAAATTATTTGCTGAGGTCTTTGTCCAAACCTCAACTTCTTAGCGGCCACTGGTAAAACAGTAAACATGAGTATATTGAAGTGAGATGAGAGTAACTCAACGGATGTGCATTCCATCAGTAGATGAATCACTGAAAATAATGAGCCAGTCCGGTAAATCCAACAGAGCAAGCCTACTGAGTACAAGGCTATTCGGGAGCAGCCAGGAGCGTGTGCAATGGTTTGTCCTATCAGCGCAGCCATACGCTGGCTCACATGCATGCTTTTTTCCTGAGAGACCCTAGCTTTTTGGCGAGCTGTGAAGCAAATGTGAGCCTATGTAATACTGGTTTCCGTCTTCTGTCTGTCCGTCGGGCTGTCCGTCAGGCGGGCTGGCCATCTGTCCGTCCGGCTGTCCTCAAATGTTAAAGTTTTTCTTTGCTGCTACATAGGTGTTAAAATGTGCCATTGAGTGCTTGTTTGCTTCCTTTTGGAATTCTATCAGTATTTTAAAAGTCTCATATGGCATTTATGCTTTGAAGTGTTGTCTATGAATGTAATGAAAAAAGTATAAAAGTTGAATGTTAATGTTTTGAGTTGTATTGTGTACTTAGCCTGTAGTACTTACTTGTACATGTTTATGTGTACCTACATGTACACATATATGTACTGAGCACTCCTGTAATGTGTACATGTACATACATGCACAGACGGTGTAATTAGACACATACAGATATACATGTACACTGTATGTAGGACAAATGTAAGGACAGGGGGGGGGACTTCAAGTGACAGATTAGGATGTTTGTTGGAGGGGTATTGATGTATAAGGTGGATGTGGGATTGGAGATA